CCACTCCCATGCTTTTGGTGTGCAGATCTCCACCTCCCTAAAGTTGTACTGTAAAGCAAAAATGTGCATGATAAGGGTCACAAGTGATGCAAGAGCAAGGAGCTGCACACTTAGATGAGGTTGTTAGAATTGGGACTGAAAAGAATGGCAAACTGAGAGGTATTTTGAGGAGGGAGGTAAATGAAAATTGGGGCTACATGAGTACTGAGTACTAGGAGGAGAGAGAGAAAACTAACGATGGAACAGAGATATCTATCCATGCTTATATAGACATGTAAATTCTTGTGTGTGCTTGTGTGTAAGCATGTATATGTGTGTAGGAGTGCTGGAGGCAGAGGCAGAGGAAAAGGAAATTGGCTGGAAAGCCCTAGAATGGAAGTGCAGGAGGGAACAGCAGATGTTAGGGAGAAGCTTGGTTAGAAGAATAAGAGCAGACACAGCTTTTAGGTACAGCCTAAGTAAACAAGCAACGAATCAGAATGGGAATTCAGAGATATTTGGAATGTGAAGATGGTGACCACAGTATGGAGAGAGAGAGAGGAAAAAAAAAAAGAAGGCAGAGTGGAAGGCAAGTGGAAGTACAGAAAGGGTGGATGGCTTCAGGCTGATCAGGTTGGCTGATGAGGATGAAGTGAGAGCAGTAAAGGTTGAGGTGCTGCTGGCTTAAAACAGACAGATGGTGATCGGAGTGATTGGGTTTGGGAGAAACACATGTGGGGAAAAGAACAATCTGTGCCTTATTAAGGATGGAGAATAATATCAATACACAGTTTTGCAGGCTATTTATGAATGTCCACCTAATCAGATAGTACCTGCAAACTGTATTGTGTAAGGGTGCTGAAACATTCTGTAATGTTTCAAAATAAATTATAACAATGACATTTTCGAAAATGATGAATTTAAAAGTAATTTTAATAGCATTAGAGTACTAGTTCTGGTCAAGTTTTCATCTGAAATGTTCTCAAAAAAAAGAATAATATAAAATGTATTAACGTTATTCATCGCACTGCTTATAAGATGTTGTTTAATTTCAATATTCTTTTTTATAATTAAATACTTTGGTAGGAGTTACATAAAGACTTTTTTTGAACAAGTACTATGCAAAGAATTGTGTTGTTTCAAAATCACTGCTTTTCTGTTTTCTCAATGGGAAAACGTGTTACCTTACAATTGAGTGCTGCAAAGTGGCATTGCTCTCCACTGTTTCCAACTGACCAGTATAGTTTGCTTGGTCAGAAGATGAGCACAGCAATCTGTATGCTCATATATAGGTAATCATAACTACACATGTAGTTGTGTATGTATAGTTGTATACATAAAGCTGATTTAGTTGATTTCAAGGCAATTATTAGTTTAATAAGAATTGTAATTATGTAATAAGTTATTAATGTGGAAATAGCATCAGAGATGATTGATGTCCTGTTTTACCATCATTTACATCATGTACTCATTATGTGCTAAATAATATTGCGTGGGATTATCGTGTCATTCTCTAACAGTCACTTGAATTAAAATTAGCTTGCAGGATAGACATTTCTTTCCTCGAAATGTAGCATGGCTCTATTCTCCACATTTCTTACTTCAAAAATAAATAAAATTACTGCTACTACCAGAGTAGATTTTCCCATATTTCAAGGGAGTTCTTCTGGGCCCCAGACAATAACTGCCTATTTTTGTGTGTTTTATAAATCAGTTAAATCTCTGAGATTTACATTATCTCCACTGGCATCTCAGTGTGATATCTTTCCCCTTCCTATTAAAATTTTAAAAGGACTGCAAAACACAAAGATGTTAGGATCTTGCAGAAAATGTTTGGAAGTTCTGTATAATTTAAAGCACAGAGCAATGTAAATAAAAGAGCTGCTCTTACAAGGATGTTTGCAACTAATGTAGAAGTGCATAAGAAAAAATTATTTCTGTGCATCATGGCTTAGTTTTCTATCCTCTGTACGAGAGAGGCTGTTCCTTATCATAAGGCTTTGTCTTTTTTTCTTACTGTAATTGATTGAGTCAGTGTAGGGTGACGTTAAAAGGATCTGCCTAAAACATTTTGTGTGTCTGCAGTCATTGGACTTTTGACGCATCTGGCTTTTTGTAAGGTGGCCAGTATTTTATTTCTATAAAGGATTTTGCCCATTGACATTGATCTCAAAATTCAAGAACAGATCACTTGTCTGTCCAAAGTGTGAAAAGCATTGAATTTCTGGAAACTTATGAATAAACTTCTTTTTTTTTTTTTCTTAGTTAATATCTCTTTAAAACTTATCTTTAAAGGATTTATTGAATGGCTTTATTTACATCTGTTCTTCTGTTACAAAAGAGATCTACAAGAACTCTTTAAACTAAACTATCATATTTAAGTGCTATTGCTGTAATCTTCCACCTTCAGCAATCAGTTGAAATTTTTCCCTGATTGTACATGGTTACAGAGAGACAGGTCCATCAAACCATGTTTATAAAGAAACTAATTGGAAAACAATTTTCAATGGTATTTATTTGACACTGCCTCAGTGGCCATCAGTGAAAGTGTTTTCTTTGAAAGGTGGTGATGATGCATTCTGGTACTTTTTCTATGTGATTCAAATTTTTCAGCATCCTTAAAAAAATACTAATTCTGACTAAAGGAAGAACCAGCTCTTTGTATTTGATATTACACCATTTGTATGAAAGTGTACGGTCATGTTTTTAAGCAGTCACTTAATGAGGAACATCCTATTTATAGTGAAAGGTTCATTCTATGTAACTTTGATCTCCAATAAAAGGACAACTTGTAGTATTAAACTACACTTCCAGTATTAAATAAACTATACCCAACGCAAGCTTTGCTGAAATCATGCAACTTGAATTAACCTTTTGCACTTTGGCCACAAAGGAATGAAAAACATACCCCAAGGGATAAAAAGATGATAAAATACTACTGCAAGTGCTTGTAATACTTGGAATGAATTGGTGTAACCACTAACCTTAGCAACCTAACTCCTGAGTTTGCATTTTGAATGGAACTTCAGCAGCCTTTAGTAGCATTTGAAACTTGAAAGTAATTAACTGTTCTTTCAGCATGGCTAAGTAAATGCCTTAGGATGCTCTATAAAAGTTCCATTTCATGTCTTGGTTCACAAAACAGCCTAATGATTTAAATTGATGCTAAATCATTTTGTGTCAAGTGAGAATGGTTTCCAGGCACAGGCACACTGTCATTGTATGAAGCCATCGTTTCTTACTTCAGGAGCTCTGTTTTCAAGGAAGCTGCAATATGTGTTGAACCAAAAGCTGGCATCGGTTTGCCATACATTGCTACTGGCTTGTAACAGTGTTTTCCTTAGTGATCTGAAAAAGTAAACAAGATTCCTTTTGCCTCTGTGCAGTGCATATTTAATCCATCATTATCTCTATTCCAGTCAGTCATAATTAGTAGACATCTTTGGAAACATTTCAGATTGTTGCCAACTGTATTGTGTTCTTCTTGATGGTAATCAATTAATTTTATTAAGATGAAAACGTGTAGTGTTTGCAACTTTGTGATGTCATGTTTCAGCAATTGCTAGCAGGTTGCACAGATTAAAGTTTATGTAAAAATATACAGCGCTAATTAGAAACACCACTGTTCTGTGAAGATCATAGGTGATCTTCAGAATACTCCATGCTCTGTGAATTGAATGCTTTTTCTGTTAGTGGGGGAAAAAAAAAAAAGAAAGTGGCATCTGTAGGGCAATTAAGTGTTTGTTAAAATAGATGTCTGCTATGTATTGGGAAATAGTAGTTCTTATTTCCAGAGTTCCTTTCTCCCCTGCACTTAATTCTTTTATGTTCTTTGCTTTAAGTCTGGCTTCAAAGTTCTTGGGAGAATGATGAAATGTATAAATTGTTCTTCTTTTCTGTTTGACTACCTGTAGCTCAACATTTGGGGAAGTGGTTAGCAGAGGAGGATAAATCTGAATCTACAGCTTAGAAAAGACAAATGCTCTGCTTTCATTAAGTATTCTTCATAGCCTTAAGAAGGAGGCAGTGTTTGCTGATAGATATGTTAAGAATATTGGACCAAACACTGCCTTATTTCAACAGCTTGATTTCATTCTACTTGAATGTATTTAACCATTGGAAAAGGGAATTTTATGCAGATGCGATGCTTGAGACAGCAGAGTAATTCTGTGGTTAATCAGTAGGGAAAAAGTAAATGTGTTATTTAGCTTTAAAAAGAAATGATGCCTGCAAATTATTTCTGTAGTCTTAATTTGAAATAAGATGTCCATTATATAATAATTAAAAGAAGTTTTAAAATTTTAACTTATAATGTCTTTTGAATGCAGACTATCTTAAGATCACATGTATGCTTCCTTAGTGAGACAGAATGTTTCTTCTGTGTGTTAGTGGAAATAAGCCATTACATGAAATAGTAGACTTGAGAATTCCCCCAGCTCTCATTTAGAAGCTCTTTCTGCTTAACCAGGATATAGAACTTAAAAAATACTGCATTTATTGTGCTTGCACAGAATTCTGAAGACTGGTTATTGCAGTCCATGAAAAATAATGAAAATAATTAATTTTGTTTTCAGACAGAAGTCACTATTATGTTTAAGAATAGACTAAAATACATATTTTAACTTTAAAATGTTATTTCTGAGTAGGCTTCATATTAACATCCGGTAAGAATTGTATTTTGATAAGGAAACATGAGGTCAGCTTTCATTTTAAATTGAAAGTTAAAAGATACCATTTAATATCAAGTGAATAGGAGAACTCAAAGCACACACAGTATGAAGTTATGCAGCATAGACCATAAGCTTCAGGTTAAAATCTCTAGTTGCTTAAGGAGAAGATTTTGCATATTGCAATTTAAGGAAAACAAGTAAGATAATCTGTAATAACAGTTTCTTTGTAGCTGCATTTTTATGCAGTCTTCAGCTCTAATATAGTGTAAAATCCATTGTTTGAATATTTTAGAATCTAGAAAAAAATACCTGTATAATCACAGCTGCTTCTTGTGACTTACTGTGTTTCAGAGCCACCAGTTCCTATTGCTCCACCTCAGCTGTCCTCAGTTGGTGCAACTTACTTGTGGATACAGTTGAATGCCAATTCTATCAATGGAGACGGACCCATTATTCAAAGGGAAGTTGAGTATCGAACTTCAAGTGGAAGCTGGTATGACATACAACCTGTGGACTCCACGAGCTATAAGATTGGACACCTGGATCCTGACACTGAGTATGAGATCAGCGTGTTACTTACAAGACCAGGCGAAGGAGGAACTGGATCTCCCGGGCCAGCTCTCAAAACAAGAACAAAATGTGCTGGTGAGTACTTAGAAGTGATTCGAAAGTTGCAAGCATTGCTCTAGAGTTGAAAACAAAGGTTATTTTGCAATCATGTTAAACCAGAACGCTGCAGGAAGTATGACTGAATATTTCTAAGTATAACATCTTAGCTTCTGATAGCCAGGATGAGTTTGAAATAAACCTTCAGTGCCACAGTGTTTTGTGGATCAAATCATACTTGTTTATGCCTTAAAGTAATCAGAGTAGAGTGCTGTAGTGAGCAACTTTTACTATTGGGTATGCAATATTCCACTGAACATTTTTCCTTTCATTATGCTCTGCTCTTGTTAGTGTATGTTTGGAAAGACAGGTTGGCTTCTCTTTATTATTATTTTATATATATATCTCAAGCTTGTAATAGTTTTGTTTGTTTTGGATAAAGTTTATTTTTCCTTTTTTCAATGTCAGGTTTATCAAATTTGTAGATAAAGTGGAAAGAGAACCTCTGTAACAGCAAAGGTTATGTCACAGTTAGCAGATAAATTTTAGAAGAAGACTGCTTTCTTGGGTGACTGACATCATGTCTTGTCATTAAATAAGATGGTGTGATTTGTTGTGTTGCATAGCAGTCTTGGCTTCTATTTTGGATGTTATAATTGATAGTGCTGACCTCTGACTTGAGAAAGATACAAAGATGTATTATATGAAGAAAAAAATAAGGAAAGGGTAGAGGTGATATTAATTTGGGATTCAGCTGCTCCAAAGTAATAGAGTAGATTGTGACCTGGATTTTTGTCATTAGTGTTTTTCCCCAGTATTTTGAATCCTCTTTTCTGCTGCTGTAAAATTGATAGGAGATAAAAGTATATGTGGAAGAAATGTGACTGAGCAAATGGTGTTAGCTTATTGATCCCAATATTTTCAAGAACTGATGGATATTCCTTGTCTTTTAAATGATACTTAGAGAATTTATATGTTTAAGCAGAAATAGTGGTGCATTTCCATGGCATATGGAAGTAAAGTTACTGTTCATAAAGTCACTTGGCGATCTACCCGTGGCTGGATGTCATTTCAGTTGAACTGATTGATGTGATTCCAGATACGGAGTAAAAAGTGGCTGCTTTCAGAATCCCAGCTTTGAAGATGCAAGCTTGTATAAGTACTAACTATATGATATTCTTCGTAATTTCTTTCTTCTTTTAGTTGTTGGAAAGCAGTACTTAATGAAAAATACTAAAAGGAAATACAATACAGCTATCTTTAGTATTTGTCAGACTTTCTTTACTAGACTGAAGTAACAACAGTTTAGTCAAAACTAGGGTATAAAAATTAATTAGAGTACCCTTCAGGAACATTTCTAGGTCGCTATGCTTTCATAATAATGTAAAATTGCCTGTCTACACAAGATATGTATATATTTAGTACTGATGTACTGCATGTATTTTAAAATTAAGCCAGTTTTTACACGTATTTTGATTATCTTCTTGTATGATGAGATACTGTAACAAAGGGTGCTGTGCCCATGAGCCTGTTTGCACTAAAAGTGTAGAGATGCTCAGCAGCCAAGCACCCCACAGCTGCTTGCTCCATCACCTCTGCTGCAGAGCAGAAAAACTTAGAATGGGGCAAGAAGACTTGAGGGTTGGCATAAAAACAGTCTGGTGGGTGAAGCAGAAGCTATGTGTGCAAGGGAGGCAAATGAGATATTTATTCACTATTTCACATCAGCAGTCACATACTTAGGTACTTTCTGGGAAAAAAAAAAGGGGGAGGGGGGAGTTGGTGCTTGGCCCTTTTAATGGTTACTTGGGAAAACAAACTGCATAATCGCGTATGGACATCCTCCCTTCCTCCTCCTTTCATGGAACTTTTGTTGCTAACTATGACATCATATAGCATGGGTTTTTTGATTTGGGTCAACTGCTCCAGCTATGTCCCCTCCTGCCCACCCACAGCCTATTTGCTGCAGGGGAGACATGGGAGAAAATAGAAAGCCTGAAGGCCAGGCAGGCAAACTAGCTCCATCCCAGTGGGACCCAGAACAGAGAAAGAAATCCAGAATTTTAGCTGTATTTAAGAGCATCATATGCTTTCTATTCACTGTAGTGCTACATACTGTTGAGTATTAAAACATGCATTCAGCCTCATAAAAACAATATGTACTGGAGGTATTTTATTACCTGGTAAAGTCTTGTAATACATCAGCATTATTTGTGTTTTCATTAACCCAAACAGTAGCCCTCTTAAATTAAAAGCAGAAAGCAATGTCTGACTGGAAAATTTAAATTGGAAGATGGTATTAAAATGGTCTGTACAAATTGGCTTTTTTATAGCAGAAGATACTGCTTTGAAGGTGTAGTGGTTATTGGTTAACTGTTAGCAAGTGACATGCTAATAACTGGCCCAAGGGGTTAAAAAGAGATGCTGATAAACTAATGAAGGTATAATTAAGCTGGGTAGGAGTAAAATAATGCCAGTCTCCAAAGCATACCATAGAATTAATAAAACGGGAGTCTTTAAGAGAAGAGTCATTGCACCTTTTTAATTACTGCGATAATTGTATGCTGCTTGTCTGTTCCCCAGGGGTCTAGTGAACCACTCTGAGACTTGAAGCAGTATGCAAGACATTCAATAATCTTAATAGTTCTCCAAAGCATTTGAAACATGTTTTCATTTTAGCAAAATGAGATTTCAGAGCTTGTAATAGACAAGTCCTATCTGTAACTTTAGTAAATAAAAGCATCGATAATTAGAATGCGAAGAAAATGAAGAAAAACCATCTCTCCAGATTTGCCTGCATTGCCCTCAGTGGAACAGTTATGTACTTTCTGAAGTGCTTTTCTTCTTTCTGATAAAAAGTAATATAAATGTAAGCGCTTTTTCGGTATAATGTTCAGGAGGACTGAGGAATTACATTCGTATCGGATTTAGATTTAACCTGGAATGTGGAGTGCAAGTTTGAAAAAAAGGGGTTTAATTGCTTTTTCATCATTGCAAACTATGTTTGAATGAGACTTAAAAAAAAAAAAAAAGTTTGCTTTTTTTCATCCCCCTACCCACCTCCCCTAGATACAGGGTCTGAAACCAAGGTATCTCCTAGTTGCCTGGATTTTTAATCGCTGTGTTCAAAGCTCCCACTTTCCACAGTCTTCTCATATGGTGTTATGAACCTAGAAGAGTAATGCTATTCAAAAAAAAAAAAAAAAAAAAAAAAAAAGGGTGGAAAAGATGCAGGGAGAAGATAGGAAGAGGGGGAAAAAAAATCAGGAATTCATGAGAGAACATTGCCATTACACTGTGTATCTCTTAATTACTCTGATATGCATTTTCACTCTTGTATATTTGTAAAATGATAATTAAAAAATAGTAGACTCCAGTTAGAGCTTTTCACACTTCAGACTCTATTATGTGATGAATCAGTCTGCTAGCTCAGTATCAGACTCTCAGCGCCTTTCACTGCTGCAGAGACCATGCTCACCCACCATTGAAAGCAGTTAAATGGCTGCACAAATGTTTGAACTGAGGATATTACTACCCTGTATCTAAGTGCAGAGCCGACAGTTGCTCTGCTACATGGGATATAGTAAGTTTGATAATCTGAAAGTCATTAGTTAGCAATTTAAAAATAAAAGAAAAGCTGTTATTCGTTACTGTAATATATTGTGAATCCTCATATGTCTGAAAAAATACACAGACAAAACCACTCTACATCTGACCCTAAATCAGTGGAACCACCCATAAGGTGGTGGTAGAGCATGGTGAGATACTGGAACAGGTTGCCCAGTGAGGCTGTGGATGCCCCCTCCATGGAAGCATCCAAAGCCAGGCTGGATGGGATTTTGAGCAACCTGGTCTAGAGGGAGGTGGCCCTGCCTATAGCAGGGGGTTGAAACGACATGATCTTAAAGATCCCTTCCCACCCAAACCGTTTCATGGATCCTATGATTCAATGATAATATAGCAGCAATGTAAAAGATTAATAAGATAAAATGTGTTTTGTACCTTCTTCTTCCTTGGAAGTGTTCAAGATGTGTTTAGATGAACTAAGGGACAGGTTTTAGTGGGGAAACATTGGTGGTAGGTGGATGGTTGGACTGGATGATCTTGAAGGTCTTTTCCAACCCTGGTGATTCTATGATTCTTTTCTATATCAACAATTCCATGGGTAGAATTATTTATTTCTGAGTTTTGCAACATGCACTGCTTGATGAAAGGCTTGGTCAAGTTTGTGTCCTGTACTTTGAAGGCGAGGCAGTGCCAAATGAAAACAGCCTTCTGGTAGATCTGGAAAAAATTCACTATGGCATATTTTTATGCAGCTTTACTTACTAAGTGATGAATTGTTGGGCTGGACCATTTCTTGAATGCTGGTAAACAGATGCAGAAAAAAGAAAAAGAAAAAAAAAAAAAAAAAAAGGCCCTCTTCCTAAGGGAAGGAGTTTTTTTTAAGACCTCTTAGGGAAAACTGACGCTTTTTTTCTTTTTTTTTCATCAGTTATGTTTCTTTTTTTTTCTGTGGTATTGTACAGTAGTCCTAAAAATGAGCATCTTTTTCTTTCCTGAACCAGAAAACTCTAGTAGAGTTTAAGGAAAGGGCAATAATAATAGTAAGCTGCTGTGAAAGAAATTTCTGATGGACTACCCTCAAATCTCTAGATCATGTTTAGCAGTCAGAACTCTACTTCACTGTGTGTGGAAATACTTGGAAAAGCAATTGCTGTCTGTGTAATCATTGATTTTCCAGGCATAGAATTCACACATGCTCAATGTGTACAAGAAGTAACAGGAATATTTTGATTTAACATTGTTCTTTTTGCTGTCTTTTGCTGTCTCTTTTACCTTCTCACTTGAGCTTGTCAGAAGGAAAGCTGTTACTCCCAGTTCTCTTGAGCTCTTGAATCACTGCTGCAGGTTAGGTGTAAACTGTTACTCCTAGAAGACTTGTTATGTCTGGAAGAACAGAGCAGAGGAACTCCTTTAACTCTCGCTTCTAAATATTATGGTTTGGGGTTTTTTTTTTTTTTTTTTTTTTTTTTGCC